TCCAACACTTTTTTTTTTTTGCGATTACGCGCCAAATATAGCATTTTGTTACAGCTTTCTTAGTGATTACTTTAAAAAACTTGTAAAGTCGAACTGAAAAGCAATATAATTCAAGACATCAGAGCCAGCTTGAGCCCAAAATGAGTATATACTTCAGCAAAAAAAATAGAAAACTTTTGGTAAGATGGATGGCTGCTGTTAGATGTAGAAGCCGATAACAGGTAAAAGGTTTTTAATTTATAATACATAACCAGCTATTGGTGCAATAAGATTTGATTAGACCAGTATAAACGTTCAAAGAATTTAAAAAAGAAACTGTTTAGAATTGTGAAGCATTTACTGCATCAAAGAATCCCTTTTAAAGATGGTTATAATAGTAACAGACGAGAAAACAGTCTTAAAAATTTTTGTTTGAACACAGCGAACAGAGTTTACAAAAAAGTTGATAACCAGACTTATATGTTTTAAAAAATGTAAGGTAATGAAAACAATTTTCAACTATATTCTTAGAAATTCGCTTTCTTAAATGTGCATCACCTCTAAAAAAGGATGTTTTTAAATGTCTTTCTAACTTTGAAATAATTCTTGTTTTTTGCAAATTTAACGTCTCAAAATAAGACAAATTAACTGCTTAACAAACTGCTTTCAAAAATTAAAGAAAAAAGTTAAAATTTTTGATGCAAAAACAGCAACAAAAAAATAATAATAAGAAGAAGAAGAAGAAGAAAAAGAAAGAAATTTGTCTAATTAAACTACAGAGCTATTATATGTTCATTGAAATCTCTAAAATTTGAGTCCTACTGCAGTGAAAGTTTCTAAATGATTTTTATACAGAAAAAAAGTATATATTGCCTAAGCGAAGAATAGCAGTCTGAAGATAGAGGTGCTGTAGGGTCTAAAGTTAGTCAATTTTAAGCCTGACAAAAAAAGATTAGCGTTCTGTTTTCTAGCAAAAAAACTATGATTAGCAGTCGGTTCTAAGAATTCACCAGAGTGCAAAAGTACACTTACTGTTTCAAGAAATTATGGTCGAAAATCCTTTCTTCTTTTTGCCTGTGTCTATACACACAGGTGATTTTGAAGATTAATCCACGAGATACATCGAACCACTGTTTTTTCTTATATAAATTAAAATAATTCTTTTTTAAAGGACGGTCCAGCTATTGCCACCGTAGACCCAGTCCTTCTTGTCTGCATTACTGAGACTCTCCAGACATTTTTGGCGTACAGAACAGTAGCTGTTCCTTTTTTTCAGGGTTTCGTAACATTTATTCAATCTGTCAACTGCCTGTAAAAAAATTTGCTTGAAAAGGACTATTTGTATACAGAAAAATATCAAATAATTGTCAGTAAATTAACAAATATTAAATCTCTTTGCAGCATTAAAACAGTGAAGATGTAACATTTTACTGTTCTAAATTTAGATAACAAACGTAGCTTTTTGTTTACCCAAAAAACTTTTGCTATAACTCAGGAACCTTATAGTCAACATTTTTCCAGTGCTTTGCTTTCAGTGTCATATAATTAGATTCAGCAGCTTGCTTCACCCTTTGCTTTTCACTTGCCAGCAATTTTTTGAACCTGAAGTTCCACCTTGGTATGTAATTCGCAAAAGCTCTTTTGATGGTAGATAACTTCTTATCGGAAGTTGTCCATTTCTGTGGTCTGTAAAATGAATCAAAGGTTGGTGAAGGTAAAAATAAAGATTTTCTTACTTGAATAATCGTATACAGCTACCTAAGTCGAATAATTCTGCTTCTATACGGACTAACACTGTTGACTGTGAATGGGTTTAATGTTTTTATAGACCAATATACACTTTCGGAAATAATTCTTTCTGGTATTAATATTGCCTAAATTTGAACTGCTTTTGTTATCAATATGACATAAAATCAGAGCAAAAGAGAAACAGTCTTTTAGCTTTCTTTCTGATTTAAAGCGTTGAAATAAAACACTTTCTTCAAAAAACTGGAAAGAAGTTTTAACATTTTAAGGTATCGACAGGTACCTTGCTTATTCTTTCTGGGTGAAAAACTCTGGTATCAACCTTTACTTTGTAGAAATTGCCAAAATCAATTTGTGTTGGATGTGTCGCTTGCGACTGGGTATGCTTAAATGACTAAAAGTACAGGCAAAAAATTTTACCAACATTGAAAAAGCTCTAATTTTAAGGTCAAAAAGTTTTACCGGAAGAAATGCATTTGTATTAAAGAAGGTAAAAAGGCCGGCATTTGGATCTTTTTCCGATATGCTATCGAGTATCGATAAAAGTGATTGATTTTCAAATGTGACAAGAACCTCGTCAAACTCTGTTAACGCCAAATATTTCGTCTTACCTCTTGAGCGGGTAATACAGTCGTCCGACGCTATGGCTTGCTGACAATAAAAAATTTTCATAATAGATGATTTATCATTTCATCGTCTAATTTTCTGCAAAAAAATTTTTTCTTGATTCTTGAAAAAATTTTACGTCACTATTCAGTAGTTTGTTGGGATTTTCTTCGTTGGATGTGCTTCTTTCAACTGGCATATCACTCCACGGTATTCGTTCAATTTCAACAGTTAAATCGTTTTCGTACAGTCTAATGATTCCGTCTACTTCTTTTGAAATACTGTGTTGATAAATAAGAAACTTTGTTGCACCGTGTTCGATCCACATCTGTTATTTAATTTCAACCAGTAAAAAAATAACTGTTGTTATGCGACTGTTTAGTATTTTTAAATCCACCATCATTATTCTGCCACGAACTGGCAGTGATATTTTGTTCAATCTGAGAAGAATAGGAGAAAGATTCACATTTGCAGTGTACAGAAATGCTACCTCAAAGAATCGCACTAGAACAATCCAGTCATCAAAACGTGAAAGCAGGCTGGTGCAAACCGCTAACTGGTGTTTTGGAGTCTCTAATCGAGAATCTATTAAAGGTATTGTTTTTCTAAGATAAGGTTTGTCACGATAAAAAATGTACAATTTTCCAATTGTATTCATGACCATAGCTACGTCAACATGATCAAGTTTTCTTGCAACTGCATAATGTGCACCATATCCACATCTAAAAAAATTTCTTTTTATATAACTGCTAATGCGGAAAGGGTCATTTAAAGTGAGAAATAAATTTGGTTGGATATAACGAAAAAATATTTTTTTCAAAAGCTTTTTGCAGATATAGAATCTGTATTAATTTTTTTTCAAAAATGTGGTTGGTCTGATGCTTGACTTCAGAAGAACATTCAAAAGTTTTTTTAGTATAGAATGACGGAAAAGTAGGAGATTATAGTCGAGTAAATGTATAGTTGAGCAAATTTATGATGATTTGATAAAATGTTAAAGAGATTTTAAAAAGCCCTTTCTTCAAAACTTGTTTTTTTCTTACTTTTTTTGGACCAGGTTTGAACAGTCCTCGGTAGGAAATAAAGTTAGATGACGAATAGAACGATATGCTACTTGTAACATTACTTTTGAATGACTTCTGCATTTGCTTATTACTTTTATCTTTACGACATCTTCGTCCACTAAGTAAGCATTTAAAAAATAAACCTAAAATAGTGAAATTGTAAAATACAAAAAGGAAAAATTATATTTTTTCCTACAAAATTACTTTTTCAGGCGTAATCGATCAGTGTTAAACACATTAAGAAACTAAAACGTTTAGAAATACTTGAACTTTACTAACAGATAAAAGCAGGAGGAGATGTCAAACTTTCTTGTTCACTAAATTTTCACTGCTTCAACTTAAAGCGTTATAAATGAAAAATAAGAGAAGGAACGCATGCTTACTTTATGCTTTGCTATATAACTGGACAGATATCGGGAGGGACGTATTGTATCAAGCACATTTCTTAACTAAAACAGTAATTAGTGATTTTAAATATAAAGTACTTAAAACTGATTGTTCTGAACCTTTCTATATCACTTTAGCAACTGTAAAGTCATAAGCGAAATCTTGAAACCAGTTTTTTAACTCACTCTTATTTGATTTAAAAGTAACTCATATTGATAAAGTATGTAGAAATAAATATTAAATTAGTTAAAGCAGTAGATATGGTTTGAAAACTTTTGCTCCAAACAACAAAAATTTCAGTTTTCAAAAATAAAGTGACAACTGACCAATTTACGTGCAGTAATTTTCTCACGATAATGGATACGCGTAAATAACCAGCAAATCCACACTAATGAAGCCAAAGTTAGAGACGGAAACGATGATCTTCTCATCTGTCGATATTTAAAAAAACGAACAAAACCCTGTAGAGACATCCTTTATCATTGTTCTTAACGTATAAGAAACAAATGGTCATTAAAAAAATACCATATTTCTGATTATTAGTCAACTGAGTTTTTTGATTAATGATGATCTTTGTTAATCGAAAGTTTTTCTGAGAATTTCTAGCTGAAATGATAGAGAATTAAAAAAGCGTAAAGTGATAGAGATTGCTTTGCTAGTTTACATCTATTATGCTATTCCTTATCAAAAGAAACAAAACTTTTTAGAAGAAAACGTGTTAGTCTTACAATTCAGTATCAAATTTGTACAGTAGGATCAGCTGCGGTTTCAAAAGTAAATTTAAAGTTGTAGAAAAACGTACATTAAAGTTGCAGAGCATTTGTGAGATGACCTATAGAATCGAAATTTACTTGACAATGCCCAACAAAGCCCACAAATTTCAAGTTACTGCCTCTCAGTATACTTCGGCTTTTTTATTACTTCTAGATTATTCAACCAATTCCCCTATAATGCTCGTCGTCAGGTATGTTTTTTTTTTTTTTTGTTTAACAAAATGATGCAGAAGTGATTCTGTTATTAGCTTTAAAATTTTAAGATTATTTTTCTTGCTCAAACAAGGATTCTACACTGATTAACCTTTTATTTTCCGGTTCATTAACTGATGTTGATTTAGGCTTGAAAGTTTAATTAGCTCAATTTTGCTCGCAAACTAAAAATACAAGTTTGTTCTGTTGAGAATAAGATGCTTCAAAAGGCTGTGTGGGATATCTGAAAAACCGTTACACTGCACAATAAAAGAATAAAATTTTTTGCTACTAAAATTGAACTCGCTCAAAAAAAAAAAACGTTGTAATTATGAGGTTGAAAATGTAAATGGAAAAAATTTTAAAATAAAAAAATTTTGAGACAAAAAATAATAAATAAAGTTTCAAATAAAGATGAGATATAAACATTATATTAAGTTTTTTTTTTAAGTTTTTTTTGGTAAAAGTTTCAGGAAAAAAATATGATCAGTGAAGTCATAAAGTTATAAAAAGGGCAAATTTGTTGGCATATAGCCGTCTTTGACCTGAATTTTTTGACTCTATTTTCAACAATTATCAGATCTCATTTCTGCCACGTAGCAGCTCAAACGTTGTCATCAGTCAGTTGATCTTACAAAAGCATTCTATAATACTAATTAGTAAGGTGATAATAATAAATTTGTTTTTGAATTCGCCAAAAAATTTTAGTAAAATTTTAAAAATAAAAGATTAATCTTTAACAATAGCTCTTCATCTAAAAAACACTTAGAAAAAAGTCTTGTTAAAGCTTTTTTTTGGTTGCATTTTTTTGAAACACTTAGTTAAATCAACCAAAAAAGAAAACTCATTTTAGATTTGCAAATTACTGCTTTTCTTAACGGTTTCACCGGTTAGTGGTGTGCCGAGTTTTAGATTACAGTGTTACTTGCATTTTTCAAAAAACGCTTGTTTAGTAATACTTCGCTTGTTAACTCAATTAGAAAAACAATGGCTTATCATAGTTTTTTTTTTTT